GTCGATCTCATCCACAGGGATGCGCCAGATGCCCTGCAAAGAGAGGAAAGGAGGAAGCCCTGAAGCCGCAGCCAGCTGGAAGGGACAAGGGACGACAAGGGAGAGCTGATTTTTCAGCAAATTTGATGCTGCGGCCCTTCAAGCTTGGAGATCTGGATTTAAAGTCAACTGATTAATTCTTGCCAGTAGCAAAAAAGCAGAGTCTTGCGGAGTCCACAGCACCCCTTCCGAATGTTTCTCATGTGACTCCCAGGAAAAAAAAGCAAGCAAAGCCTAAATTGCTTAGTGCAGTTTTCTGAAATGCACAGTAAAGAAGACTCCCTAAGCCAAAGCACAACTACCAAACAAAATGCGAGCTAACACAGTTTGAAATTTCCCCATCTAAAATATGCATCTACTGTCTAGCCACAGCAAGATTTTATCTTCAAACAGACTGTTACTACACTTATTAGGAGCTTGGTTACTGCCTTGCTATCATCAGAGCCTTCACCCTGGGACTAACCAGCCTGATGCTAAGAATCAGATTCCTCAGCAGCATCCACTTCCCCAGGCAGATCCCAACACTTGTGCATACATCCTGAGCCTCCTAATTAAATTTCTGGGACAGAGGGAATCTTTGGGGAGCAAGGCTGGAGTCTGATATAAAATAATTTAATTTTTGTTAGTCAGCTCAGATTCTGCAATGACTAATAAGACTATGGAGATTGTTTTCAGGTGTTTAATATGGATGCTGCCAACACACAAGTCAACCATACTTGAAAATTGCAATTCAAATAATACCATACTTGATATACATTGGTATATAGCTTACATCGTGACCATTCAAAAATTGCTGTTATGTCAATGCACCTCCCCTTCTATTCCTCACTTTATTTCACTCTGGATTTTTTTCCCTGTAGCAACACTTTAAGATGAAAATCCTCAGGTCAGCTAAACTATTTAGTGTGGATGCAGGGCTGGGGAGAGGTGGAAAGGTCTTATCAATATGAGTTGTGGACAGAAAATGAATTCTGTTTTCCAAACTTGTTCAGAGAGCAAGATATGTATTTATTTATTTATTTTCATCCTTATTTCAAGGTCTTCCTGTGATATTTTAACTTTACTTTCAGCATAAGCAAAACTCTATAACTTACTAGAAGGAGGAGACAAAGAAAATAACTGCAGTCATGGATGATGTGACCATGGAAAGAAAGCAGACACACAAATAGCCTGTCCACAGCAGATCCTCCCAGTGTTTGGAGGATCTGCACTTCTGTTCCATGGGCTGTACTGAACTTGGGAGAACAACAACAAAAAGCCCTGCACAAACATCTACACTTTTGAAATGGAAGCACCAGGTTTAACTAGAGCGCCCACGCTGCTCCGCAGACCTTTCCTACTCGAGCTTCTCCTCGTGCGCTCTACTCTTATTCCCCCCAGCGTTAATACAAATTTCCATCTTTCCTGCACCCTGAAATAAATTCCCTTTTTTTGTATTTTCCTTTTCCCAGGAAGTACCTAAAACTGTAACACGACGGCCCCTTAGGGCACAACCGTTGCTTCCTTCTGTCCCCAGCTGCCAACATGCGCCAGGCCCTGCCCCAGCTGGGGGAGCAGCTTTATCCGCTCAAGCAGCTCCTGAGCTGCCAAGCGCCCGCAGCCCTTGTGGGCTTGGGACGGCTAAAGCAGCTCCCTACAGGGGGAGGCTTTTTCTCCCTCCACACAAAAATGCAGCCGTGCTTGCAGGTGACGTGTGCAGGTTTTGCCTCTCGGCACACAGATTTCCACTAAATCCTGAAAGAGCTGAATACACTGCAGCGGCACCACGGCCTGTCCCAGGCCGCCTCACCACACAAAACGCCTCATGGAGTCTCAAGTGGCCTTCCAGGCCGCCTCACCACACAAAACACCTCATGGAGTCTCAAGTGGCCTGTTCCAGGCCGCCTCACCACATAAAACGTCTCATGGCGTCTCAAGTGGCCTTCCAGGCTGCCCCACCACACAAAACACCTCATGCCCACCTTGCCGCTCGCTGCAGGGCTGGACGGCGGCCAGTGTGACGGCTCCTGGGCTTTCTCAGCCTCCCTGCGAGCCAGGAAAGGCACTCGGCCCAGCCTGGGGACACTGCAGCTGGAGGCAGCTCAAAGCCGCTTTGCAGCTCACATGACCCCTGGATGCACGTGAGGAACCTCGGCACACACCAAATACAAGTGGGATTCATCCCTGAGTGATTTACAGGATTCCAAGGCTCCCCTCCTTTCTTTTTTTTTCTTGTGACTGAGGAAACAGAAAATTCTACTAACTGTAACAGATTTAGCCCAAAGACACCCTTCAGAAAGACCTAATCCCGCATGCAGAAACGTTAAATGTCTCAGACTCTGCACATTAACTTAGCATGATTCACATTATTCCGTTCGTGCCAAAAACCAAGAGCCATGACTATAGCAATCAAAATACCCTCACAGCGATTCACTAACATATTTTGTACACGTTTATTATGCAATTTGGCAATACCAACAACAGGGATTCTCTTGGACTTCCCAAGCAGTGGGATATCTCCCACCTGCATCATGCCAGGACAGGCAGTAAGTGCATTTATACTGCGGGTTGTGACACACTTTGCTAACTGAGATGAGGAAGGCAGGTGAGTGTCGAGGTTCATAGGATAATTTGGGGTTTTTTTCCACACGAAGAGGCACATTAGAAGACTTTAAATTTACTTTAACCTTGCAATTAAAAAAGGTCTGATTTTAAAAGTAAAGCCATCAACTTTGCATGTGTTGACTTGCCATTTTTCAAAGGCAAAACAGCAATAAATCAGATTATGGCCCTGTGTTACATACCTGCCATTTCACATGCAGCCCCAAGCCAAGAGCAGAAAACAAGCCTACAGCTAGGAATCAATACAATCTTCATTCTACCCCCTGCAATTTTATGAAGCAAGATGCAAAACAATAGATGTTAAAATGAGCTTATTGGAATCTATTCCACAAGTGAATTCTTCAATTCTTTTTAAAATTACCATCTGAATCAGAGGCTGAAGAGACAATTTAAACCAGGCCTTTTCCAAAGGGAGGTTTTAATCATGGAATATGGCTTTTTCCTTACCGACTGTCAATGACCTGCAGAGGAACGCCTCTGGATGCGGACCACACAGCTGTGTGGTTTTAGACTAGCCAGCCATCCTGCTTTTAAAACAAATCCTAATGAATGGATGCAAATGCTAAGATGGCAGTGAATTAGCTAGGAAGCACAGTGGAAAAAAGAAGTTACTCACTCTGGATCATGTCAGATTTCTCAAATCATCATTTGAAAACTCAGACTTGTTAGCAAGGTAGCTCGCTGGAAATCACCCTCGTGCAGGGGTACAGGCTGCAACAGCCAGGGGAGCGCAGCTGCTTTGGAGGCTTCTTTTTACCCGTGGTCCCCACTCGGGCCGCTCGGCCGGACGCCTGCAGTGCCGGCACCGAGCGGAGCGGCCGGGCGCGCAGCGGCCCCTGCTCGCTGGCCACTCTTCTCCTGGCTGAAGGCTTCTCCTCCCTCTGGCGACAGCCAGCAAAGCTGTTTACATGAAGCCACAGAGGAAGGAGTGAGACGCGGCCAAAAGCTCCAAAACGCCTCTCCAGCTCCAAAACACCAAGCTGCTCTCCATGCCTTCCTGGCTAAACAAACATTATGTAAAAATTGTTGGGGGAAGAGGAGGAAAGCAAGCCTGACATGCACTGGAAGACAAAAATAAATCTGGGACGAAGTGCAAATCTGGAGGAATTTAATGCTGATTTTTAAATGAAATATAAAACTGAATAATGAACCTAGTATACTACCTTGCTGGTGATACCTACTTTAGTTTTTCAGCCTGAACCTGTTGCATGATTTCTACCTGCAGAAGACTTCAAGATGTGCAGGGAGAAGGCCAGGAGAAGGGGACCATGACGCACTTCGCACAGAGCATTTTGTAAGCACGGGCAAGAGCAACAGTGGTGGGGACTTTCTAGTTCAGTCACTCAAAATAGAAAGGAAGGAAGTGCTTATTAATCCTCCATGCTGCTTACTTTAGTACTGTAAGGGAGGGGATTCCCTGGGGTTTAGGAAAGCCTCCCAGAAGAAGAGAAGCTGACAGTTCTCAGCAAAATCCCAGCCTCCCCGGGGAGGTCTCCCTGTTGACACTGCAGAGTTTGAGAGTGAGCTGATTCCTACGCAGGGATCAAACTTTGCTTCCTCAGTGTTACATGATTTCTGTTCTAACATGGAGCAATACTAGGTACACCTCAGATTATCTGATTCACATGTGAAAAATAAATTGTGTAAAACAACTGTGACTATAAACAGAGCGAAGACCTCCAAATACTTCCAGGTATCTTTTTTTTTTTTTTTTTTTTTTTTTAAACAGAAGTCAAAATTGCAAATTGCACCAAGTACCATAAACACAGTTACACTGCTGCCTTAAGCAACCAAAGCAAAACACAAACACCTCCAGCCAAAATTTGTCAGTCTGAGTAACATCCTCATAAGAAGAGTCTTCAGTAGAAAGTCATCTAATTTTAAAATTATTTGAGGTTCATTATAACATATGACAAAACCAATATATTGTTAACTAGTTAACAATACAACAGCATCTTATACATTACACAACACTTCAAAAACAGAGCTGAACTAAGCACAGCTATATAATTTACTCATTTTTAAGTCTGTTTTAACACAGTTTGCCCAACTTACTGAATTAGCTTTTGTCCTATCATCTCTTCCTGGTTCTGTAGGTGAACACAAGATACTGGACTGGGGACCTGAAGAGTAAGAACTGGTCTAGGCTCAATTTCCTGCATCTCCTCTTCCTGTTTCATTTTGTAGCCCAATTCTGGCTCTTTTTTTGATCATCATTTCTTTTTCCTTTCTATATACACAGTAGTTGTATACTACTAAGAAAAATGAAAGCAGATACATTCAGAATGTTAAAATGACTAGATGGTACCACCATAAAGGAAAAAAAAAAAAAAGTTCTTTTCTCTGGGTAAATTCAAGAGCCGAATTCAGGAAAATCTCACAAACTCTCTCAGAGCATTAGGCAGCATTCTTGCTTGTTTGCATTTAGTCATTTTAACACTGAACAATGGCAGAATATCAAAAATACATGACACTGAAAAAAAGGCACTTCATCAGCCTGGGAAGGAAAGAAAAATGAGGCAAAGCTGCAGCAACTTCCTCTTATGAGGAACAAGATTACGGTTCCTAGCCTACATGTTAAATACTGTCTTTTTTTTTTTAATGCATACTCTTGGAAGTGAATAAGCGGAACGTGTGCTTTCTGCAATAATTGCTTAATACTGTAGCACTATTTTTGCAAGAGTGTGTCACGAAAAGCAGTGACAAATGAAAACACTTTACATGCTCCAAGTATCATCTGCTGATAGAGAAACAAAATGGACAATTTTCACCTCTAATTGTTCACATCAAAATACGGCTTATTTTCGGAATCTTAAAGTTTTTTGAGTTTCTGGAACAGCCATTTTACAGTTGATGTGACATTAAATTGGTTTTAATCCCACAAAACAAATACCGAAGACACATCTACTCGGAGAGACTATTATGTTTGAGCATGAGTCAGGGCCATACACATAGGAGGCAGGGAAAGGGACTCATTTCCTCGCTGAATAAGCAATTATCTAAAACCAGAAATGCCTTGTTAAGATGATGATGAGTTCAGGTTCAGGCAGAATTAGTGAAACAGAAACTGAAGTCTACAGACAGTAACACTGAGTTTGGCCATTTGCCAGGCTGAATCTAGAGGCTGTGGGTTGCTCAGTCAGGAGGCTGCAGGGGTTTTACTTAAATACCTCATCTGCACCGTGCGAGGCACCGGCAGGCAGCCAGCGCAGACGCCTTCCCGCGCTACTCACGAGCTTTGTCCTGCCAGCGCATGTGGAGGAGCTCGTCCTCGAGGGCTCCAAGGAAAAGCCCTTGGATTCCTGCTTGCTCAGCGCTCCCATTCTCTGCTCTGCAAATCAGGGATGCTAAAGGAAAAATGGATTTGACAAAATAGCTATGAAACACTGATTGTTTGTCTCCTACATTAAAAAAGGTTCCCTTTTGGACATCTGGATATCTCCTCAAACTGGAAGGTTATTTATTGATAACAGACTTTCAGGCAAAATACTTGTGTACATTTACTGCCTTTTCTTCAGCTTTGCTCCAGAAGTTGCCTCCCTTTACCAGCTGTAATTTAGGAAAGAAAGAGGGCTAAATTAGGAAAGCACTGAAATTAGCAGCAGTAACTACCATACACTGGGTCCTGCAGCCAATCAGCGGGTTCCAAAGGAGAGAAAAAGGCTTGCCAAGTCTTGCCAAGTGAAGTGCTGAAAGCTGAACTTACCAAAGATTTAGCCAGGTACTTACTGAATTCGAAAGAAAACACTGGGAAGGGTGAGCAGTCGCCTGTGTTGGAATTTCAAACTCTGCCTTCACTACATCAGTATCCCCTCTGGGGTACATCTTGGATTATATCCAGTCCCTGCATGAAAGTCTGGAGGTTTTTCTAAGATTTGGGGTTTTTTTTTCCACCTAGAGCACAGAAATCGAAAGATCACAGAATAGTTCGAGATCTAATGAGCAAACAGCATAAGCAGAAACCTAGTGGAAGAAAATGAAACCCTTTAAAAGAAAAATCTTCACTGTGGTTTTGCATTTCCTTAGACGTTTTCCGGGGCCAGAAGCAGGAAGTTGTCACCACCACGAAAGCAAGCACAGCAGATGACATCTAGAAAGGGGCAGGAGTTTCTGGGTTTGCTGAGCAGCCAGCCTTCATTGTTTTAAGAGGATTTTTCTGCTTAACCTTTCCTGAATATCTGCTGTAAGCAGAGTGCTTGGCATCAGCCGCAAACGGGAATACTCAAAGCTAAAGGAACAAGCTTGGTATTGCCTGTCCACTTCCTTGGAAGCGAGCAGGTTCCTGCAGAGCTGCCCTCTAGACACTGTCAAACTCACTTCCCCAAGTGAGTTTCAAACTCACTTCCCCATCTCCCCAGAGGTCCACATGTGTTAGATTCCATGCTTTGAGAGGAAGGATTGCATCTCAAAAATCACTTGAGAATATAAGATTACCAACTTTCCCGTGCTGTGGTAACACTTAAAAACCATAAGCCTGGTGCATTATGACTCTAATCCTATTCTGACAACATTCCTGCCTAAAACGAGTACTGCATAACAAAGTCTAGGTACAAAGAATAACAACACAGATCAGAAACACAGAAATTCAATTTAGCTACCGAATCCAGGGCCAGAAGGATTAAAGTTTGGAGATAAGTCTCAAATGTCTCATTCTTCAAAAGGTAGCTTTTCCACCCTAGCCCCCTGGGAATAACACCAGGACAATGCATAAATGGAAAAGAAAGAAAAACACAGGACAAATGTTCAAAAGGATGTGGAGAATGATACAATCTATGGAATGTCCAACCAGGCCAAGGGAGAGGCAGCAGCTACAGCAAAAAGAAGATATAGATTTTTCATGAGAATGCAGCTAACTTTCATGCTGGGTGGATGAGGGCAGCAAAGAAAAAATGATGCATCTTACCCATGTACTGTAGGGGTACCTGAAGATGCCTATCTCCAAACAGTTTGCAGTGATTCACTGCCATCATCTGTATTGCAGATACTGCAATACTACAAACCGAAAGAGGACATGAACTTCATAATATTAAGAGGTATTGTAAGGAGACTCAACACATGTTTTTAATATGCATAAAATCATAAGTTGTTCAGAGGTTCTTCACACTAAAACACTGAAGTTCTCATTCTGGTACCGGATACCACCTTCTAGATAAAAGAGCATCCAATACACAGAGCAAACAAACTGTTTAACTGCCTCTCTCTGCTGACAGTATTCCTCATGTCTCTGAGTTTTTTACTCTTCTGCCTAATGACAAACATGCTAAAATATCAACATGAAAAGCTACAAAATCTGCGTGTTTGAAAACTATTTCACATACTCACAGGATGCTCAAAAAGTAGCACTGCCCATCTGTATTATTCACAAATGCATCACCCACCAGGTTAGACTCAAAATCCCAGAAAATACCAAAAATAAGAGCATCAGTGTCTGGACGCTTCCAAGCATTTTCGGAAATGATACTAATCAAGTATCCGATGCTCCTTCTTGTCCAATAGGACACACTGCATTAGATATCCTTCTGAAGGGTGTCTTTGAAAATGAAAGCGCAGTAATCAAAAGCACCAGCGAACACTCAGAAATTGTTTTCAGGGCAGTTTTTGAAAAGAGATAACCCTCCAAATTAATACTGCATGCCATCTTATAAAATATAATCAAATGATAAAGACTTGCCTACTACAGAAGATACTTCAGCTTAATTTCATCTTGACTAATATAAAATTACCTAGAAACATTTTCTTTATGACATTATGACTTTTGGCTAAGACACCCCATGAGACATGGGTTTCTCTAACCTCAAAGCACCAAGGAGGATCACACAGATAAGATGTCATCTAACTTCGGGGAACTGCAGAAGGACTTTCCAAAAGAGCACATTTTGCTCCAGTAAACTGTCAGGCCCAGTTTCAACTGACCTCATAAGTATGGAAAAGTTGGCTCTTTCCACTGCTTGAGGTGCTCTGAGGTAAATACAGCATGAAAACAAACAGATCTGGTCTATGG